ACCGAAGTACACTGCTGAGGGGAGCAGCGGGTGGCAGGAGAGGTCTGCGTGCCATGTGGGACCCTCCTCCGGTGGCCGGGGAGCAGCCGGGGATCGAACTGGCGCTGCAGAGGCTGCAGGCAGCTTCGCAACCCAGTGCTCAACCACCGCGCCACCAGGGAGGACCTAAGCCTCCATTTCTTGACCTTGCAATAGGGATGAATTTTCCTCCCTTTAGAGTTGTGCTGAGGAAAAGATCTCATCAAGCATCTGGTCTGGTTCCTGGGCTCCAGATGTAGCTCTGCAAATGTTGTCCCTGCTCCCACCGTGCCCCCAAACTCTGTGTCTGCATTCTCTTGATTTGTTTCCTTCTTTTTCCATCCTTATCTACTAGAAACCAGATAAGCTAGGCTCCTCTAAAGAATCTTGAATGGCTTCCCCCTTCACTGGCCCCCATAGTTGTTGAGGCAAGGTATGGGGAGGTTTGTTCAGCCCATCTGCTTTATGGTGGACACAGTAGAAAATTGTAGCACACTGGGTTCCCTTCAATTGATGACCAGAATACAAGGGGAAGACAACCCTCAACCCTTGTGGTTCCGGGCGTTAGGCATTCTTCTGTGCCTCCATGAGTGTGCCTCTCAGCCCCACCCAAAAGGCATGCCCAGATCATGTGGGCATTCATTGTCCTGGCTGAACTGAGCCAATGAGAAAGGAGATGTGGGTGACTGAGCAGAGACCTTCAGCCTTTCTAAAGAGCAGATTCTTCTAAAACACAGTCCTAGTCTTATCACCTCACAGAAAACTTCCCTGGCTCCTCAGTTTTCCTAGTGTTCAAGGCCTAAACCTACTCTTCAGAGACACATTTCTCACTTTTCACTTTACATAGGTCTTTCATACCATAATCAAGGTATTCTCCTTCGCTCCCCCTTCCTCCTTTCTTCATTTCACAAATATTTACTAGTGCTTTCTATATCCCAGACACTGTGCTAGGCACTGGTGAATCTGGTCATGGATAAGCTAGGCTACTGGGCAGACACACAAATAAACAGTGCATTGTGAGCAGTGTTGCCACTGGGAAAGTATGGCTTGCTGTGGGAGCTCAGGAGGAGTGCCAAACCAAGGTTTGAAGCATCTGGGAAGTCTTCCTGGAGGAGGTGACCAGGAGGTTAAGCCCTAAGACTGGGTGGTAACTAGTGAGACACAGAAGGAAGTATTGATGAAGAAAAAGGAAGAAGAAAGAGAAGAATCAATATGTGCAAAAGTTCAGAGGCAAACTATAGTTGTGCTCCACGGGGTGCCATTCAAAGAGATTCCCTGCAAATGATGCCCTGAACACGTGCAACTTAGACAAAAGAGAGAGCAGTAAGTTTCTGGAAATGGAGAACAGGCCAACATGTCTCAACAAATCTTAACAAACTACTGAGAAGTGAATGGTAACACATGAAATTGAAGGGGTAAGCGGGGTGGGCAGGTAGCTGGAGACCAGATGAAGGATGAGAGCTTTAGGCCAGGGTACTCCTCCCTCTGCCATGATGCTCTCACCTTCCTCTTTATCTCTTCCCATTGAAATCTTCAATGGCTCCAGAAAGCCTCTCTCAGCTCCTTCAGCTGTAACGAGTCCCATCCTGGCCTCTGATCTCCTGTTCCTCCCTGTGACCCTCGCCCTCCACTCCCACTATCTGAGACAGTGACTCTCCCAGTGTGTATATCCCTCACCTTCCAGCCTGCAAGCGAGTATTTAGGAAATGTCTGTGGACTCAAACAGTGGGCGCTATACTTTTGCAGTCATCATTGCTCTTATACAAAAAGAAAAGACAAAGTTAGTATCCCTCGCTTTACAGATACATGTTTATGACAGTGACATCTAACACGTGCTAGGTGTCTACTGGCTGCCACACACTTCTCAACATGTCACTTGTTTTAACTCTTAAGCTTCAGAGAAACCCTGGGGGTTCTTTTTATCTTTTTTTAATTTCCATTATACAGATGAGAATGTTGAGTTACAAATGATGATGTCATTGAGCTAGCAAGTAGTGGAATTAAAATTCAAATGGCGGCAGTCTGGTTTCAGAGCCCATACTCTTACTATTACCCTACCCTGTTTCTTTAGATGCTGAATTGGTATAGCAATGCTTCGTTATATGTGTTTTGAGCTCCCTTGTATTATATACATTATAAAACATAAAAAATAGATATTCAGAAGGGTGAGATAAAAAGTACTTTCTAATATTTTCTGGTACTCCAGGGGATGGGTGGAGGAGGTGACCAGGAGGTTAAGCCCTAAGACTGGGTGGGAACTAGTGAGTCACTAGGTCTGTGCCCCCCACTTTAGACAACTTAAGTAAAAATCTGCTAATAAGAGAAAGGGAAATAGCAGGTTTCCAGTAATATCAGTGCTTCACAGAAACCTCATGAGTCAGTATGGACGTACTCAAGCCATCCATTCGGTAGGGGCCGAATGTTCAGAGCCACTCCAGAGGCCTGAGGAGAGTCCCGGAGGTTGAGTGGAAGGAAGAAGAAACAGCCATGAGGTCTCGGAGGGCATGGTGCTGTTCAGCCCAGCCCAGGGTCTTTGAAGTTTGTGATAGAACAACTTTCTTAGTTCTGGAACTATTTCCTTCATAAAGCTTGACAGATTTGCTCAGGAAGAGGCTGTAACAAGCACTCTGGAACAGCACTCTGGAAGAAACATCTTGTTTCTTCAATTTTGTCTGAATTCTAACAAGTCAGCATGGTATGGTACTAGTTACCTCAAGCTCATCAGAAGCTGTGATTGGAGATTATAATATGTCTTTAGTTAATAAAAGATGAGGAAATGAATGTATATTTGTTTAATAAATGCAGCCTGATTGACAAAATCTTTCCAAAACTGGGACTGCAGAGGAAGCTGGATCATGAATGGGGTCCTTCGTGGGGTGGCTTCATTCACTTTTTTTTTTTTAAGATTTATGTATTTATTTATACAAGCACTGGGTACAGTCAGAAGCATGGGAGGGTGAGAGAATTTACCAGAGCGGGGAACAGAACAGGCAGATGGACCAAAATACACTGCTGAGGGGAGCTGCGGGCGCGGCAGGAGAGGTCTACTGCGCCAGCTTCATTCAATTTAATCAATACTTGGTGAGCACTGACCCTGGGCTCCTCCTTGCTCATGCTTCCTGTTCACATACAGCATCTCTAGTCCTCACAACAACTGTGCAAAAGAGGAGTGTTGCCCAGCTTTACAGCTGTGGAGCTAGCAGTAATTTTTCCAAGCTCCTACAACTACTAGGCGGTTAGGTTGTAATGCAAGCCCAATTCCATTGAATTCCAAAGCCCGTGCGAAGAATGCAGTGTACCCCAGGAACAAGCCTTGCAGATGTCTGCAAATATAGCGGGGCAGCCATGACATCAGAACTAAAGATACGATTAATTCAGAGAAAGCAATGATTGCTCCTGTAATGCTGAGTGGTCAATGATGTCAGGGAAGGTACTTACAAGGTAAACTGGGAACATTATTTTGGACAATTTTGAGATGAATCATACCCAGACTTTTAGGTAAAGAAAACCCGAGAGGGGAGGCGACCCAGAGCTTGTCCCATGGCCACTGATACGTGCTGTCAATTGCTCTAGCTGAATTTCTAATGCAAATCAACTCTATAAACACTGCAACTCTCTGAAATGTTGTCATCCGTGGTTAGGCTCAGGGGTTGACATGATCATGAACCTGCAAGATCCTGCAGGACTGGGTGACAGTGAACCAAACAAACTGAACTTGTGTGAAAAGACCACAAAAGTTGTTTTTTCCCAACAATCAGCAGCTCTCTCCGCCACCTCCCCTAGAGCCCGCCAAATCTTAGGCTGGCATGATGGGGCTGCCTTGTATTTCCTTCGGGTTAGTCTCATTGGAAAGCTAAATGGATCTGATTATTTCCTAAACCTTCTCTCAGTCAAGGTGGGAGAACAGAAGCAGCCCTGGAGTCAAGTGGATGCTTTGTCCTGTACTGTATACTTTTATATGTCGTGCTTATGCTCCCTCCTGTAGACAATGTACTGCACACGTGCCCAGAATAGCACTGCCACTGTCTGTCCTCCTTCCGAAGAGTTAGCAGTGTGCTCACAGAACTATAGAAAGCTGGAATTTTAGAATCACGGAACCCTGAAATAAGAAACTTGGATTCCAACACGCTGATTTATCGCATCTTGGAATTCCCAGAATGTTAGTGTCATAAATTTATAGAATCATTTCATCTGAAATTAGTAGAATCTAAGGATCCTCATATGTTAGATTCCTGGAATTTCCCTACCATGCAAATATTTATTTTGTGCCCACTGTGTGCCAGGCACGATGCCAAAATGGGGCAAAACAGAAGAGCAAAAAAAATGGCTGTTTCTTGCTCTCAGAGAATTTGCAAAGAATGCCAGAATCGAAGAATCTTAGAATGGTAGAATCTTAGAAAAGTAAAACATGAGTGTGCTGAAATCTTAGAATGCCAGTAGTAGAGGGGGGTCCTGGATCATTCTCTCCAGCTCTCACTCTACCCCTTATGAGGCCCAGAGCCTGTTCCAGGCATGTCGGATTAAAATCTCACTAATAAGAACATCATTTCAGTTCAGTGACATCATTTCAGTTCAGTGAAGAAAGGCCAACTTGCTGAGTCTCAGCAATCACCCAACGTGACTGCTCCCAGGGGCAGCTGTTGGATAAGACAGCCCAGGCTTTATCAGGACTAGATCCCAGGTTTCCAGCCTCTCTCAGGGAACAAGCAAAGCAGGAGAGGCTTCCCGTGTGTTTCCTAGCTACCCTCTTTGCAACCAGTGCACACCCCTGCACCGAGGCCTCTTCAGAAGGAGTTTACACCAACTTTCTTGGCGGAGCCCCCAGCCCCGCCCCCAGCCCACGTGTGCAGCACATCGTCCGGTGTTGGAAGCCCCGTCCCCCTGTTAATGCGTGTTTTATTTTGCTCCCTCCCCCTCCCCGTGTGCCTCAAAACCAATTTTCATTATTTTTTTCTGTCTGTGTTTGTCTTTGTGGTTCGCAGGTGCTCCCTTGCATTGTTCATCCGCTTCATCAACCCCTATTGAGCGGTCCCCCTCCCCGCCCCCCTCCCCTCCGGCCAATGAGAGCCAGAGGCGGTTGCTAGGCAACGGTGTGGCCCAGCCAACCCCGGACTCAGACTCTGAAGAAGAGTTTGTCCCTAATTCATTCTTAGTTAAAAGTGGCTCCGCCAGCCTGGGGGTCGCGGCGAACGGTAAGTCCCTCTCTCTTCCTAACTTTCGTGGGAGGTGGTTTGTTGTGTTGTTGTTTTTTTTTTTCTACGTTGGCGATGCTGGTTAATCTGCCTGTTTGGGCCGTTTGCAGGGGCAGAGGGGCCTGGTGCATGGGGGGCTAGGGGTTGTCGGGGGACCTGGCGAAATTCTGAGGCTCAGGCAGCCCAGCTCCTGCCCCCAGAGCCCGATTGGATATGCAGTGTTGGGGGGATGCTCCCCCAGCCCCATCACTGAGGTGGGGTAGGCAGAGCTGCTCCAACATATATGCACAAGCACACAGACAAGAGGGAGACAGAAACATCAGGTAGAGACAGAGACAGGTGAAGCTACAGAGGCAAAGATCCACTCGAAAAGGAAAGAAAGAAAAGAAAAGAAAAAGAAAAAAGAAAGAAAAAAAAAGAAAGAAAGAAAAAGGTTAAAACAAAACCCATCGGTTGACCACTTCCTCTGTGCCAGGGACTATGCCAACCTCTGTCGCCTGCTGCTTTACAATCCTCCTCACAATCCTGCCTAAGCAGCCAGTATTACAGTGTCCGCATGAACCATGAGAACACTGAAAGGCTACTCCCCTGGGCCTACTGCTGGCTTTTAAAGTTCTAATTTTCACCTTGTCAGGTAATAGGAGGCCCTGACAGCCCAGGCAGCTGCAGGGCAAGAACCCTGACTACAGAGAGAGCCATGGGCTTAACCGTGGATCTGCCCATAATAAGCACTGTTCTTCCAAACTCTGCCCTGACTCTCTGAAGGAGAAGAGTTGTGGGGGCATACTGGAAGAGTGCCAGGCTAACTGGGGTCCTGCAGGCGCAGCTTTAACCCCTGGTCAGTTGCTGTGCTGTGTGACCTAAGCCAAGGTGCTTGCCCTCTCTGTGTCCAGTAGAGGACTGTCCACTTCTTTGCAAATATGTTCTGGAGAGGATTCAGGCCTTCAAATGGGGGAACAATATACCTGAGGTAACCCAGTATCTTCCTAATGGCCCCAAGATTTCCTGAGTCCCAAGGAAGAGAAGAATCGAAACTTTCCCACAAATAGCACTGTAGCTTGTGCATTGCTTTTGTAAACATTTATTAGTGTCTGTGTGGCACTAAATTCCAGACCAGATTCTGGAAAAGGAGGCAGAGATTCAAAGAGATATAAATAAGGCAGGATCTCTGGGCTCTGCAATTAGACATCATTGTACTTAACACAAGCTTTATTGCTGTGAGACTTTGGACAGTTATAGGCCCCTCCCAGCTTGTGTCTTCAGTATCGCCCATGGGGCAATCTAGTTCCCATGTAGGTACTCATATAGGACCGCATGATGAGGGCCTATCACAGTGCCTGAGATTGAGGAGGAATTTTAGCAAGCACATGGACAAAGAACCTGAGGCAAGGAGAGGGGAAACCTGTCCCCATGTTACACTTAGGAACCCGGCCTGTATACAGTCATTAACCTTGGAAGGATATGGAAGGCCACGTGGTAAGTCATCTGAGCCCCTCTGGGTACAGAACTGAAGTCATCCCACCCACTATGAAAACGAAAGGTGATTTATTCTACCCCTTTCCTAGGCAGGACCCCTCCCAGCCTCTACTCTCTTTGAAAATCAGAGGATTACTCTGGCCTTGATGTTTCTCTTCTGCAGGATTCTCTGTGTTCAAAAGTCAAACCATCCTCCAGGGCCTTTTCCCTTGTGCTCCCTGAGGGTGGCATGGCCTTTTGGTGATTGGGTGTCACTGTTCCTTTATACCTATTAGCTGCCCATGTTCCAAATTATGCACCAAACACTGGCCTGAGAGGGAGGAAAACTGGGTTGCAGACCTGCCTCTATGGCTCACTAGCTGATTGTCCATGCAAATCACTGACCCTCTCCAGGCCTCAGTATCCCCATCTTGCTAGTTATAGAACAATCTCTGAAGTGTGCTAATTTTCAGTGTCATGTGGTCCAGCAGCCTTCTTAAGCTTACTTAGGGGAAAAAGAAAAAGAAAAAAATTATATATTTGATGATGATGATGATGATGATATTCATTTCTGAGTAAATAAGCCTTGCAGGTAAAAGAGAAGGCCAGAGAGTATAGTCCTTAATCTCTTCCTCTGATAATTAAGTGCACCAGAACAATCACTTTGTTTTCAGTTCTGCTGAAAATGATGGCATTATTGCATTATTGACGTGCAGGGAAGATGGGGGGACTTTGACCTACAGCTCTCTGCTCAGTTATGTTCCTCTGTGCTCCTGCTCCTCAGGGCACCTGGAGACACTTGAGATTCCTTCTCAGGGCCTTGCTGTAAGTGTCACTCTAAAGGTTTGTAATAACTGTGTTCTGTGCCTGAATAGAGGCTGGGTTTTTAGTGGCTTGTTGCTCTCGGCTTGATGGGTCATGGAAAAGCCAGTGAATTTCACTCCACAGTTGAACCCTGCCTGCTAACTTCCTGAACCCTGAAACCCCAAACCAAGAGGCTTTCTATGAGCCAAAGGCCCTGCTGGGTCTGGCATGGAACTAGTGCCTTCAAATGAAGTTGAGTGGACCTTGATGCATGAGGGGCCCAATAAATGTTTATAGGGTTTAATTTGATTTTTTTCATTAAAGAAATGTGAAATTAATTTAATGGGATAATCCTTTGTGTTTTTGTTGATTATAAAAGAAACAATGTTTGTTAACGTTCCAACAATACAGAAATAACAAGTTGGTGCCAGGCTTTACAGATCTTCTTACATAGTGTTAATAGAATGAGTGAATGAATGAATGAGCAGGCAGCACAAACTATGCAAGGACCATAGTGTAGCCAAGAGAGCAAGGGCTAGAGTCTAGCTTTCTGAAATTGAGTACCACATACGTGACCCTAGGCAGAGTACTTAGTCTCTCAATTATCACTGCTCCATCTGTAAAATGGGAGAAACTTTCCAAGGTTGCTATGGAATTTAAAAACAGTATTCATAATAAGCATACCCCCCCCCCCAATTCAAGGCATTAGAGACCACCCTAAATGGACTATTGTTCTATTTCCTTAAGAGACCTCTCCCCCAGAAGACTTAATTCAGAATGTGCTTTAAATGACAAAGGCGGCCCTTTGGGGTCCTTAAGGTGAAAATGCAGAGGTCTCCTCTGGTGGCAGCTGACTCAGCAGGGCTGACCCTCTGGGAACCAGCCTCCTAGAGCTCATGCTGTGCTCTCCTGCGGCTCCAAGAGGCCCTCTGCCTCCAGCTGTGTCAACTCCAGCCCAAGGCTGCGATCCCAGGTCCCGGAGGCTAAGAACCATCCTGCTAAAATCCCCGTGTAAAGAGCAAGGAGAACGCGTGGGGCATTACAGAAAAGCTTGTTGTCCCTGTGGAAAAGAAAACAGGGCAAGTAGCTCTTTCTGTCATCAAAATCCTAATCCTCCCCCAAGGATAATCAGCTAAAAATCACTGATATATATAAAGAAAGATTTCACTAAAATATCAACTGGTCACAGCTGAAAGCTAAAGATGTGGTTAGGATTAAGTAGGTATTTGTCCCTACCCCACAGAAACTTTTCAGAATAAATATTAAATGTACCGTGCATTGTATTCATCTAAATTCTAAAGTAAAGGAGTTTTAAAAACTCAGGGTTTAATATTTATGAGGGTCAGGGAATAAATAGCTGAGAGAAAGCTGTCAGTTTCTCAAAGCGTAGGTGAGGCAGGGTGGGTGGGAGAACCGACAGGCCATGAGCACCTTCTGAATGTAAGTCCCTTAATATTCCGTCTCTTAATATTCCTTTCTCTCCATCCCTCCTTTTAGGAGCTTGAGGCCCAGTATCCATGGATTCATGCTCCTAAGGGCAGTGGTTCAAACCCAACCTGTGTGACTCCAGAGCCCTTGTTTGACTCCTTTTTCCCTTTTTATGACTCATTTTGCTTTGTTTCCTATACCAGAACCTGTTATTTCTGTGCCCCCTCTTTAGTAGGAGGCTGGAGAGAATAAGAATCATCCCCCAAAGAAAGCTGATTTTAAATAATTCCAAATTGTGGGATTCCCATTACACACCTTGCATACCTTTATGAAGCACCTACTATGTGAGAGGTGTTTTATCTCGTTGAATCTTCACATCTCCCCTGTGACATACCGTTTTTGTCATTTTGAGGCAGTAGAGATCCAGAGGGGTTGAGTGACTATCCCTAAATCACAAATGATCTCAGTGATGGAGGCAGATTGGAACCCAGCACCATATGACACCATGGATAGAATCTTCCAGTTATTTTTTTGTGAAGAGTGAGGATGTTTCAAAGATGAATCAGACAAGATCACTAATAGCCATGCCCTGGATACTGAACTGTCCTGGGCTTTTTTTTTTTTTTTTTAACTTTATGTTACATTATTTTTTATTTTCTTCCAGGACAGTTCTTTCCTGCCCCACTTTATACACTTCTCAGCTGGTCCCACTGGTCAGCATCACTGGTATTTGGCAGTTTCATTGACTTTCTCAGGTCTCAAGCAGCTGGAATTATTTTGTTTTGACTTTCAGTCCAGAGGAGGAGTGTTTATTTTTCTTTCTAAATGGGAAACACTGCTATGTATGCGAGCTCCTTCCAAAAGTGTTTTCTTAAAACAAAACAAAAAAATTCAACTTAATTTACAACCTACCCGGATTCCCCTAGGGGAGTCTGCCAGGGTCCTTTTAAGTTGGTTTGTGAAATGAGAAGGCAAAATTGTGCCTATTTCCTAGCTGATGAGAAGTGTCCAGGGAGGTTTGTGTCTCCTTTCACTGTGAATTTCTTAGAAGCTGTTTCAGTTGCTCGGTGCCACTGCAGGGCCTGGGAGCAGGACATTGCCATGTGTCAAGGATAAAGGAAGTTGGGGTATGTGAAGTTTTCTGGAAACTTTGCTCACCGATCCTCTCTACTCCTGCATCAAAGATTATTAATTAACAAATTCTTATACCAGTTATAGAGAGAAGTTCAATATTTCCAGTAGCAAGAAAAAATAATGTCTTTTTTCATTCATTCATGATGACATTTGAAATAATTGTGGATGTTTTCCAAGCA